GAGTTGGTTCCATAGGAGAGGAGCTTGATAGCTAAAGGCTCTGCCTCCCACTCTACTTCTGTGGACTCTAGGAACCACAAGTAAACCTGCACTCTGAGAGCGAAGCGCTCTGTTAGGATGATAAGGCTCTACGAGGTCTTTAAGATATGATCTTTAGTTACTTTTCATACTGTTGGACTCAACCAGTCCTGCGTGTTCTTTTATGAAGAATGCTCAAAGACAAATCTGTCCTTTAAGATATTTATTAAAATATTCAAGAAAAGCAATACAGAGCTCTGGGTTCCGTCTCTATCTGAAGCCCCTATCCACACTACAGAAGTATGGTTCACAGCCTCTGCAGGAAGCCAGAACCCCTAGTCTCCTCACCCCAGAGAATATATAATACAGTCATGAATATGCAAAATGTCGGTTGATCTGATGTCATCCGTGTTGTCCTTCATCCTCGTTCCTTGGTTGGTTTGTTGACCTCGTTCTGAACCCTCATTTGGTGATCTTGTCGCCAGGCAGATTTTGATCTGTGAAATTCTGAGAATAACATCCTGACCTTCTGAACCAGTCATTACACACCTACATACATCTTTACAAACAGTTAGTTGTTGTCTGCAGATTTAGGAACAGCATCTCTGGCTCACGTCTCTTCTACTCTTGTGACAGGCAGCGTTGCTATGCAACCTGGCCTTGTTCCTGTTTGTGGTTTTCTGTCTGATTCTTACAGCGTACACATGTCTCCTATATTCTTAAAGACAAGTGAAATGGTTAAAACAAAAGGAAATTATAAAGCATAAGATACTGAGATAATTATGTAGGTATATTTGCTAATGCAGAGTATAATGTTGATTATAGAAGGCTAAACATTTCCTATACTATTGATAAATGTTGATAATATAAAGCCAAAACAATAAGACCTTATACCCACTCACAACTCTTCTTGCAGACAGTTCAGTCATCTCAGTCTGCATCTGAGCAACTTCCTGTTGTTCTGAGTCTGCACTTAGACACCTACTCACACAGCATTTCTAGTGCACAGGTCAAGCCATTATAAAGGTCAAGCAGATTAAACACTTTTAAACAGTTTAGCAAAATACATAACATAGCACTATATTATTTTATCAAGAATTTCTTTCTACAATACCTTTATTTTTCTTGCTTATACATATTAAAACTGTATTGATGACTGCTGTATGAAACTTTGGAACTGCATGCTGTAACTTCTGTAGAGACAGTATGTCTGTACCTCCAAGTAACCAGACAGCCTTTATTTTACATTTTAACAAAGACCTGTTGGCCTGTTTTGCACCTACACCTAGACCCACGTTTAGGACATTCCAAGTTCTGCTTTGTCATGGGGTGTCCTGCAGAGGCAGGGGGCTACAACCTGAGATGACCACCTGGCCAGTTTAGCATACTTATTAGCATCACACACACAGGGGGGCCTGCAGCCCAGACCACTCTTTGTTCATTGATAAAGATCAAACTGCCACCTAAGAAACATACAAACACACACCTGGATTTTACCACATTCCAACAAGGAGGTGTGAGCTCCTGCTTACACAAAATGGCCAACAGGATTACGAAGTGTTGAATGTTGTACCTCTGTCCAGGGCGGGCCTAGCCCAAGCAGATAAATGTGTTAGGAAAACGTAACTCGTGCTTCAGAGAACGGATCTCCTGCAGGAGCTCTGTCTCTCTGATCCTAGCGCTGTATGGACTTCACCTGTGCCCAGACTTTGAGTAAACTTCCTGTTGATTTTAAACAGTCCTCTCTTGTCTTCACTTCTCACACTTCCAACAAAAGAATTGGGTAATTTCTAACATAAGCGTACAAGTAGCTCGTTTGCTACCGTTCATGTGTATCAAATTGGAGTAATTTCTACCAACCTGACAAAAACAAGAAAAAAACCCCAAAAGTCTTTTAGGAGATAGATGTTACTTACCATATTATTAAGTCAGTAATATGAATATAAAAGTGATTTCTGTGGTTGAGGTTATTGTTATAGGCTGCCTGTAAAGTAATATTATAATATAGTATATTACTAGATTACATTATAAGTGTGTATTTAAAGAACTTATCTTGATTTAATTATACATTAAAAAAAACACCATAATTTATTTGGAATTTGAACATTGTAAACTCTTCGTCTAATGCACGGCGGCAGTGGAGGTCATGTCCAACTGGGTCATGCTGTTGCAGGCAGCATCTCACACACCAACGTTGTATTCTGATGTTGCGTGATCGAAGGAATCCTAACACATACCTTTCATCTGCATTTGGGGTGGTTTGAAGGATCTCACCAACAATGTTAGTCAAGTCAGACATTGCAATGTAGTTCAGTGGTCCAATTTCAAGTTGCTTTCTGTGCCTGTACAGTGTCATCCTGCTGATTCCAAAGCATACAGCTATTCTTTGCCAGCTCATTCCAAGAGACAAACATATGTTGTACTGAGGATGACCATGATGACCAGTCCTGATTGTTGGCGGTACTCCTGAATCAGTCATAGTCCTTTGTCTCATTTCTACTGATCTTGAGGTTTCATATGAATTGATGATGGAACAAAAGCATGCATGCAGGGCTCTCAGTGCACCTAAACCTTCTTGATTGTCATTCCCTTCTAATTGCTGGCAAAATGAGATAAACGATGAAATTGTCCGTGTGTATCCATGAAGCTCACAAAATAACCTTTCCAAAGTCACGCTGTCAGGTTCCATGATGTCAGATTCCCTTACAATGTTCTGAACACACTGCATTGCATTAGTGAAAAAAGAGTAACATCTTCCTCATTACCATTTACTTCCACAAACAAAGCCTGACTTTGAAAAAGAATGTAAATGAGTAGAAAAATGGCTTGTATATGAAGGCCACAATATGCTAACCCCTAGACATAGGAATAAAGCTTAACCTCTCACACTAAGGTGGCATATTTGAAACATATTAAAGTTCCAAACACTGCTTGAGGTTTTTTGGTGGAGATATTCACTTAGTAATTGACTACCATGAACCTGCAAACATAGTTTCCTGCAGACCTCCTTCTTTCATGTTATTGATTCAGGATAAGACCCCAAAACCTCCCAAATATAACAACCTGCAGTTATAGACAGCTACCTCCTTGTACCCTCAGTTGTTACTGTACTGAGAAATTTTTATAAACCAGTATACTCTGGCTCTTTGAGGAAGTGTTACATTTTGTCTGAAATAACATATTTGTTTTGCACAGTATTTAGTTGACATAAGGTGTTATTAAGGATAGGAAATTTAAAGGGTAGTGTATATTATGTATATTATATTATGTAATAAGTAAACAGCTGGATAAAATTAAAAAAAAATGTATTTTCTGATATAACTTTCTAAATACCACCTACCCTCTCAACAGCCAGTCGGTTTGTATGGAATTCCCCCGAGTAACAAGCTCAATCAGAGAGTTGCTGCTTAGTTGTCACCATTAGGTATCCACAGCTGGTCAGCTTGTTAACACTGCTAGGTTGCTACTGGCTGGTTTAACTCTTTGAGACACTATTGAGAAGGTTGGCATACTATTAATACTCTTGATGGTTGAACAATATGATTAAACTCATTATCAAGTTGTGTTCTAAGATAGGGCATTTGAATTATAATGGGTGTAATATAATGAGTAAACAATTGACAAGTTCATTTAGGTTGTCTGAAAATTATGTCAATATCCCAATGTTAATTTCAATCATCACTGATTCCTTTTTCAGGAAATTGCATTTAACTATTTGTATTATAGTCTTAAACAGCCTTGAACATTACCACTTGAAAGTGTAAATCCACTAAAATCAAAAGAATTAATAACATCAAAACTTGACGCAATAAACGCAGTAGTGTGGAGTATTACATCTTTTCAGGAATTTTATATTGAAGCTGTTGAGTAAAATTGTTAACAAAATAATACATTAGGATGAGTTTTAATATTAGACTGAATTAAGAATTTAGTTAGTAGAAGATTGATACTATGTTTGTTGATTAGTTAACTTGTTTGTTTACTGTGTGTGCATATGATTATTCTATCATATTAAGAAAATGAATAATTAGGATTTAGTTTAGAGCATACATAAGTTTATATATTTTACTCTCACAGTTGTGTTTATGTTTATGTAGTTACATATCACCTTAAGTCTGCATTGAATCACTGGTCAGTATTTACTGTGTTAGCCAACTGGGGTACTGTTTAACATCAAGGGAGACTGATTCACTAAACACTGAGAACTCATTAGATTTATGGCCTAGCAATGAGGGTCCACAGTTGTTTTATGACCGCCACCTGGCTGATGGGACGGGGGACCTGAAGTTTATTGGGGTTTCTAGGATAGTTGAAACAGAGATTAGATCTGAGGCCAGGAAGAGAAAAGACAACTTTAAAAGACAGGGCCATATACAGACACACAGGCAAGATAGTTTAAGTAGCCAAATGGAAAGCCATGTTTTATAGAGTGTAGTTACTTAGTTGGAAACAAAGAGGTGAGTGTAGGAATTTAGACAGAGTAGGATTTTCTCTCTCTTTAGGAAGCTGCCTTTCCCATTGGAGCAGGAAGGATGCAGAAGGGGGACGGATGGATAGATGGACCAATGGAGCAACCCGAGACCACCAGACCAGCCTACAATTGCACATTTCAAATTGTATAAGTAACTGGGTTTCAGGAGGGTAGGTGTTCTTTCTCGTCCTGAAGACGAATTGAACAGGTTTTGCTGTTGAGGTTAGGGCTTCAGATAGAGATGGAACCCAGAGCTCTGTAAATTGCTTTATTCGATGGTCTGTTTAGTTATGATAATAAATGTTTGAAAATTGATATTTGATTCCGATTATTCTTCATGAAGAACACGCTACAAAGCTTAAAAGATAGAGCATTAAATCATCAATAATTGTCTTGATTGGCTTATAATCTAAATAAATCAACAACTACTATTTCTAAACAAATCTAAAATGATCATACTGATTAAAATTATTATGGTTGAGCTCTCAAGATGTTACAGGGTTGAAGAATGAGGGGCTACTCACTCTTAATGCAACACATTTATTTCTGTAAAAGACAAAACAGTAGTCAGTCTCAGGAGCGCACTCTTTGCCTGTACTATGCATTCATTCATCAAGTACTGACTACTTTTTCGGCTGCATATATCCAGATAGCACAATTAAACTTAGCTCAAGTACTAATAACACATACAATAGTACAACCCCCCCCACTCTTCTTGTAGATGTATTACAATGCTGATTCAGCACTTATACATTCAGACAGGTACATCATTTTGAACATGACCATCATGAAATGACCAAACTATATGTATTTTACCCTTATACTGTGGTGTTTACATGAACTCAACTTAGTACAGTTTTTACTTGTTGTTTCTAAGCAGTTTTTAATCCTCTCATGAACTGACTTATTGAACAAATGGGTCTTAAATCAATGTCTTGTACTGTATTTATAATTTCTTTTAACCCAGAATACAACGAAAATAAGCATTTTAACACTTAATGTGGTAACTACATACAATTTACAGAGTACACCGTGCAGCTCCCAACCAGATACAACATGCGAACAACACTGATTCTAGCCTTAGCTCAGTAACAGAATTGGCGCTAGTATATTGTCCACATGTGCACAGTTCAGCTTGACACTCCATGTCACTCACGCTTCAGTCAAACCACACCCATGCTACAACCGTGTGCATTCCCGAGCATCTACATTTCCTATTTTGGATCACAGAGACATTGACAAGTTCCCTATCAAGCTACTGCAGTTGCCACGGGCCCATGTCCGCCATCTTGATAACATAACGTAGCGACTGGCACTCACGATCTCACACACACTCACACACACGTCAATTCACTCTTTTCCGCTTGATATGCGTCACTCCAAAGCACCAAAGAATCACCACTACTGCTATCTATTATTTGTGCGTTGCCCACAACCTGCTTACCTGTAAAATACAAAACAGTAGTCAGTTTCAGGAGCGCACTCTTTGCCTGTACTGTGCATTCGTTCATCGAGTACTGACTACTTTTTCGGCTGGCGCCAGCTGCTAATGCCTAAGGCATGGAGCGCCCCCGCTGGCGAGGCTGAGCACACCGGCATGAACAATCCCCTTTCTTTTACAACACACACACGCACACTAGACCAAGCACCAAATAGACTCTTGACAGTAGGTTCCTCAGCGGTTTTGGCCCCATTCATGACACTAGTTCAAAATTAAATGGGGGGCAACTATCTTTACACCCATAAATCACACAGTGCCACACTCTCCCCCACAAAATAAAATGTCTCCTGACATTTCTGTCTGACCTACAGTGTTACCATTGTCTTTAACACACTTGGACAGCCCAAGGCCTCCAAAAGGCTTTTGCCTCTGTAACCTGAGTCTTTGTCACCTTACAGTCCCTCTGCACAATAGTTGGTTGGCCTGTGTTATAACTCAGTACCATGGGTTGCTGTCTCTGCCGCTGGGATCGCTGTCTCACAGTCACTCTCTCACCTTCATCCTCAGCTGGAAGATCTGTCTCTGACTCACCAATCCCCGGCCTGTCAAGGTCCAGTTCAGGTCCTTGGGATGGTGCTACTGTGTCTCCTTCGCTCTGTAGTGGAAAATCCTCTTTGCTCCGTAGTGGCAGATCCTCTTCGCTCTGTAGTGGAAAATCCTCTTCTGGATGCTGCACACTCTCTTGAGGCTGAAAAGGTTCTGCCAATGGGTTGAAGGGAGATTGTCTCTGTCGCCTTCCGCAACCTGGCCGGAAATACCACTGGTAGGTGCCGCTGACATCCTCATCCGCTGGGTCATCCTGCTCTGCCTGATGTTGCTGTCTACGTTGGGATCGGGACTTCCTCTTGGCATTTTCAGAGTCTGCCCGTGGCTGGGTGGCCATTACTGCTGGTGCTTCAATGGGTAGGAACTCACAGGGGAGCAGTAGATTCCTGTGGACTCTTGCCATTTTCTGGACTGATCTGATACACTGGGCAGTCATCAGACCTTCTCTGCTTAACTCTGTAGACTCGGTCCTCCCAATATCACTGGATCTTTCCCGGGCCCCCTCTGGGAGTCAGGTTTCGAAGGAGGACTCTGTCACCAGGTTGGAGGTCCCTTCCTTGCACTTTCCTGTCATAGTGGGCCTTCCCGCGTGCTGCGCTCTTGTTGGCCGTGCTTGCAGCAACCTTGTACGCCTCTTGCATTTTTTCTTTCCAGCATCTTACATAGCCATCATAGTCCATATGGGCTACATCCTTTTTGAGATCAAACAACAGGTCAATGGGCAAGCATGGGGAACGTCCAAAGATGAGGCAATATGGTGCATAGCCTGTTGCCTCACTCTTTGTGCAGTTGTATGCATGGACGATTTTAGCCAGTGACTCCTTCCAATCGTCCTTTTCCTTGTCTTCCAGGGTGCGTAACATGGACAACAGGGTGCGGTTGAACCTCTCTACTTGTCCGTTACCCTGCGGGTGGTAGGGTGTCATGTGCGAGCCCTGGATGCCAGACAGTTCTCTTAATGTTGCCATTAACTTGTTCTTGAACTCTTTGCCCATGTCATGATGCAATCTGGTGGGAAAGCCGAACTTGAGTGCAAAGTTGTTGAAGAGCTTATCAGCCACAGTCTTAGCTGCTTTGTTCTTCGTAGCGTAGGGTTGGGCAAACCTTGTGAAGTGATCCACAATGACTAATATGTACTTGTAGCCGTGCTTACATTTTTCTAAATGAAGGAAGTCTATAGACACGAGCTGGAACCGGTAAGTAGTCTGGATCGACGTCAGGGGTGCACAGGTTTGCTTGCTTGGCTTCTTCTTCTTGAGGCACTCACATACTTCTGTAACAAAGTGGTCAACGTCCTTACTCATCTGGGGCCAGTAGAACCTCTCACGAATCAGGTCCAGTGTCTTCTCGACCCCTAAGCGGCCCATGTCCTGGTGCAGCTCTTTGAAAACTAAGGGATGGTAGGCTTTAGGAACCAGCAGCTGTTCCCTTCGGGTGGTTCTGCGACACAGGACACCATCTTGATCCACGTGCAGCTTCAACCACTGTTTGAGTAGAACTGCTACAGCAGGATGTTTTGTCTTTACCTTGGCTCTGCTTGGCCTCTTGTTCTGAGACTTGTACCAGAGGACTCTCGCCAGGACCTCATCTTCTTCCTGTGCTTTACGGAGCTGGTCTGGAGTCAAAGGCTGGTTAGTATTGCTATCTTTAATCAACTTTAAAGCACTGACCTGGATTATTCCAATGCCCTGGCAAGGGTCTCTCTGCTTCACTTTCACCATCTCCACTGATGCACTTATTGCATCTTGACTGACCTCTGCCATACAGCTGCTCATGTACTCCTCAATATCCAACAGCATCCCTGACAACCCGTCGGCATCAACATTGTTCTTGCCTGGACAATAGCATACGGTGAAGTTATAATCAGCCAGCTCCGTGACCCGCCTGTGTCCTGTGGCATTGAGTTTGGCAGTCGTGAGCACGTATGTCAAGGGATTGTTGTCAGTATATACTACAAACGATGGGGTGTAGTATAGATAATCCCGGAGGCGCTCACAGATGGCCCACTTCAATGCCAAAAACTCTAACTTGCCCAAGTGGAGGTGGCACTTCTTCTCTGAGGGACTCAAAGTGCGGGAGCCGTATGCTATCACTCTCATCCTCTCTTATTGTCTCTGGTACAACACAGCACCCAAACTGACCTGTGATGCATCACAATGCAAAACAAAGGGTTGGGCGAAGTCTGGGTACCCAAGGACAGGCAGTTGTGTCAGGGCATCCACGAGCTGGTTCACATCCTGGTGGGAGCTGGTCCACTGAATGGGTGTGCATGATGGCAAATGTCCTTTGTTTTTCTTTACCTCCTTCTTAGACTTGTCTGCTAGCGGGGCTGAAGTGTTGTTTTCTGGAACTGGAGGGCTGAGCAGTTGGGGATGAAGGGCCTGTAATAGGAGAGGAAGCCCAGCATCTGACGTACCTCACCCACGGTTGCGGGCATCTTCTCCTTGAAAGCTCTGACTGGAGCCAACTCAGCGAGGTCCATTGTGTAGCCTTCTTTTGTCACCAGCTTACCGAGAAACTTTACACTGAACTTGAACAGTTCACACTTCTTTGGGGTCAGCTTAACACCATGCTCCTTGTAACGCTGGAGGACAAGGTGAATGTGCTCAAGGTGCTCTTCAAAACTGCTGCTGTGTAGAAGGTTATCGTCCAGGTATGGGAGGCAGATCGTGTCTCTGAGGCCAGCCAAACAACATTCCATGCTCCTCTGGAACTCGGTGGGTGCGGAGCTCAGGCCAAAGGGAATATACACCTACTCGTAGAGCTCAAGGGTGTGATGAAGGCTATCAAGGGGCGGCTTTCTTCCTCCAAGAAACCCTGGTGATATGCTTTTCCCTGGTCTAGAACTGAAAACCATGAGCTCCCACCCAGCGCATCCAACATGTCCTGAATCCAGGGTATCGGGTGGCGATCTGGAACAGACTTGTGGTTTAGTTCCCTAAAGTCACAGCAGAGCCGGAGACTGGCATCTTTCTTGCGGACACACACCACAGGCGATGAGTAAGGGGACCGTGATGGTGTGATCCACCCTTTATTCAACAGGTCTTGCAGGTACTCTTTCACTTTGTTGTGAAGGATGGACGTGTAGGTCTTTGCACAGGACTGGTGTCATGTAGAGTTATGTGCATCCTGAGAGATGGTATACAGCCCACATCATCACTGTCGAATGCAAAGGCCTCACATTCCTCTTGTAAAACTCTTCTTACTGCCGCTTGTTCACTTTCAGTTAGGTGCTGGATGTCCACGGGTGGGTCCCATGGCGTTGGTCTTTTCACATTCTTGCTCTCTGGCTGTTGTGTGTTACTCAAATTGTGTGGCTTTAACTCTGAACCATTTTTGGCCTCTGGTGTCAGTTTGTTTACCTCTGTCTGGACAGTTGCGGAATACACCGTCTTGACTGGTTCAAGATGTCCTATCACTTTGCGACTGTCTAGGTAGATGGTGTGCTCTGTGGTGGTAGTCACTGGGATGGGCACATATGGTAGTTTTCTGTCTGGAATTTGCACCAGTACATCACTGTATATCACGCCGTCTGGTGGCGGGTCAGGCATGTCGGGTGAAAAGAGCATGTGCTGGCCCCTGGTTTGTGGACTAACGTGTTCCCTGATGTAAACAATGGTCACTTGGTTAGCTGGTAGAGGCACCCTTTTCACACCTGTACGCACAACACCACTCTCTGACTCTTCACTACTGTTCTGGACTAGCTTGACAACATTGTGAGCAGCTTGTACTGTTATGGCAAGGGCTTTACTCACTTTGTGTGCTAATTGCTTCCTGCCACCTTTGGTCTTTCCTTTTTTCCGGTTGACAATAGCTTCAATGACATTATAGCCGATGATGGGGTCACTGGCCACTACTGGATCACTTGCTACCAGTACTGGTACTTGCAGGTCACTTGTGGATGAATCACTGTTTAATCTGAAAGTGACCTCAAACCAAACAATGTAGGGAATGGGCGTGTCATTAGCCGCTAACACTGTCAGTGTCTCTTCCAATAGGTCTGAAATGGGCCTGATGATAGTGTGGGGAAGATGGTTTTGCCGCCAGGTGTCATTTACTATGCTGGACAGTGCTCCTGTGTCCCATAATACCTTGAATGGATGATTGTCCATAAAACAGTTCACTGTGCACCTGTCTCCCACTAGGCTTACTAGCCGGGACTGGCAGTGAGGGGGTAGATAATGAACCTCAGTTGCAGCTGACAAGGCACTAGCCATTGTGTCCGTGTGGGGTGTAAGTGGCCTTTTGCACACTAGTTCAAAATTAAATGGGGGGCAACTATCTTTACACCCATAAATCACACAGTGCCACAAAGATACTGAATAAAAGTCAAAGGTTTGCTCACGGTCACCAGTCCTCAGTTGGTTTATGGTTGTTGGATCATGGTTTTCCGTTGAAATATTCATTTCAGAGTTTCCTCTTGTTGAATCATGAGGCTTTGGCAGAGTAAATCATCCCTTGCCACTGCAACTGTGAAGGAATGCTCTCCCTCCTCTTTTTGCCAGAGTTTTTAAAGGATTCTGGTCAGTATACTTAGTCCTTCCATTCAACCAGATGCCACAGTTTGCACTTAATACCTTTTTTGGTGTGCATAATGTTGTTTTTCAGAACTCACTTGCATATTGTGTACTTGTCAATGTTCAGTATTTCTTGTGACTGCTCATGGCTGCTTTTGACCGGTTGTGACCAATTCCCCTTCACGGTGATTTATTTAGCAGTTTAAGTTCTCTTCTCTCAGAAAACTAAATCATCCTAACCCAATAAAAATACAGAAAACTCACATCTGATTGAAATACCAAGAATCCCATCATTGCTTTTAACTAAAG